AAATTGTGCCGTCTCAAAAGGTCACATTTTTTGCGACGGCAAATGTGCCGTCGCAAAAAGTTCCGTCTCATAAGCCCACTTTTCTTGTAGTATTACTTAAAAAGTGTGATTAAAAAGTAGTAGTGTATATATAATCACACTTTAATTAGAAGGTGTGATTAAAAATATATATATATAATCACACTTAATTGAAAAGTGACATAAAAAATAAATATTATCACACTCAATCAAATTAAGTGTGATTAAAATATCAATCTAATTTTTTTTATCACACTTCCAATAAAAGTGAGATCTTTTTTTTTGTCAAAGTGTGATCTTTAACTATTTTTGTAGTGTTTGATAAAAGGATTTTTAAAATAAAAATAAAATAAAAAACATAACAGAATATCTAATTTTTTCAATTCAAAATACAAACAGAATATCTAAATAAATTATAAACATAAATTTTTGTAAATTACTAAAGTGCTCGCGGTTTGGCGATTCGGTTATGGCCAAAGGAACATCAAATCTATCATCTATTCAAAATTAGACAGATTAAAAAAAAATCAATTCGTAATTATTCATTTGTTATCATGCATACATCTAAAATGTGACAGATGAATTCGATTTAATCGATTTAGAGCATCTCCAACGGTGAACTTCTTTTTTCACCAAATTTGAGTAAAAAATGACTCATTTTCTCAATTTGATATCAGTTGCTCCAATAGTTCATTTTCATCAAATCTACTCCGGGAACAACCGATTGGTCGACCGATAAGAGGAAATTTTATTTTTTTTTTTGAATTGTTTGAACCAATAAATTTGAACTGTTTGAACCTTTTAGTGGTCGACCGGTTGGTCGATCGACCGGTAAGGCAAATTTTTTTTTTTTTTTGAATTTTTTGAAACTATAAATTTGAACTGTTTGAACCTTTTAGTGGTCGACTGGTTAGTCAACCGGCCGGGCAACCGGCTGGTTGACCGGTTCCTCCCTCCAACGGTCACGCACAGTGTTTTACTGAATTCTGTATTTTGTCCTCAGTTTGATGAATCGTTTGGTAAAATCTCATTTTGATATCGATTTAGTGCAACCGTTAAAACACAAAACAGTAACTTTTTCATCAAAATTTAAATTTGATGTCAAGTTTAGTGAACCGCTGAAGATGGTCTTAACCGAATTGAAATATACCTGCGCACTCCTGCCATACCCCTCCTGCCATACCCTTTCTCCAAGTGACGTGTGGTCTTGTCCGTACATTTAGACTGCAAATTGATCCAACGGCTTGGATTAAATCCCTCCTCCTTATTAACCTCAAACCATTCTCTCGTTTCGGGTAGACCTTTATTTGTGGCCCAAGAATCTTCTGTTCCAAAAGTTTCTCTCTCATAATCTAAATTCAACAATGATTTATCCCCCCTTTTCCTCCCACCCCCTTTGACCCCCTCTTGTTCTCATTGGTTACATTTTCTTTTTCTTTTTCTTTTTTTTCCTGCTCCTCCAATCACCACCCGCCACGTGGCAAAGGGGGTGAGGGGGTGACCCCTAAAAGGGGGTCCCAAGCATTATTCTTCTAAATTATCCATAATTATTAAATTTCTCTTGAATTCTCCAATCTTAAAATTCTCAAATAATTCAATAATCGTGACTTATTTGAGACAGGAAAACAGTGCAAATTTAAAAACAATAATATTACAATGATCATATGGGACAGGCGATCCTTGCTTTTATTGGTGTTTACTCATTGACTCTCCGCATTCTTAGAGTTCGTTTGGTTTGTATTTCTGAAAAAATTTTGGGAAATTTTCTCTACAAATAAGTTTTTAAAAGCAATCAAACCAAACAAATTTTCCCAAAAAAATTTCTCAAAACTTGTAAACCAAACAAGTTTTCCAAACAAATCTCTCTCTCACACACATCAAATCAATCACTTTTTCCAAAACTCTCTCTCAAAATAATTTTCCAAAACATCTTTTGAAAAAAACCAAACCAAACAACTTTTCGTACTTTTTATCTCTAAAACACATCTCTCAAACACAAACCAAATATACCCTTAATGTCTCTCTCTCTCCTCTCTTTCTACACCACGAGTTCTAGAGTGTTTTTGTAAGGTAAGAGTGCAATCGCACTCATTTTCATTTGATCTCGTTTCGCCCTCTTTATCTCTTGGAATTCAATCCAAAAACCTCTGTTAGATCTATCTGGTAGTTTTTTTGTTTTTGTTTTTGTTTTTGCTTTTTTTTTTTTTTTTTTTTTATTCTGCCAGTGCTCTCCAGCTGATTACTAAGCGGGCAGTGTGGTCGGAAAATCACCCACATAGTTAAAGGTGACAGCTCTCCAATGTCTGCTTTGATGCACACCCACTTGCTTAAATTACATCTATATTTACAACGTGCAATATGTATATATTTTATGTTAACTCATGCTTCTTTTGGATTTGATGATATTAGTATTGTCATTTGGTTGGATCAGTTTGAGATCGTTTGAGTTATTTCTCACTTGGAAATCGATGATATTAGTATTGTGATTAGGTCCCCGAATTTTGTTCCTTCCTCTCATTCTAAACCAGTTTGATCTGTATTTTAAGCACAAGAAAAAATAAGTTGGTCATTTTTGTATGACTATTAAAACTTCAGAGATGGACTTTCATTTAGAGGATTGTATACAAAAGTTTCTTTTATTAAAGAAGAATGAAGCTTGTAATCTTTGGTATTAGATCTTGGCCCTGTTTGGTAGGATTTATTTTCAGCTTATTTCAGCTTTTAGCTTAATTAAAGCTATTTTAATGTGTATGGTTCAGCTTAACAATACTGCTTATAACTTTTTATAAGTCAAAAATCAACTTATTCTTTGAGTGGGGAGGAGAAACTTAATTTACAAGTCAAAAATCAACTTATATTCACAACTATAAGTTATAAACTGTTAGGCTATAAATTATAATCACTTTCTCACAGTTCTACCAAACAGCCCCTCAGGGTAAATTACACTAACACCTGTTTTGTTCCTTTGAAATCACACCCCCTTTATTTTCTGAAATATCATTGCACTCCCCTGCTTTAGACAATTTTGTAACCATTTGACCCAATCATTAGTCAACAGTCAATTCACTTAATAGAAAAACATTACATCAGCACAATAATTCCTAAAATGCCAACTTTGCCGCTACGAAGCTCTCTTCTTCTTCTTCTTTATTTTTTTTTTATTTTTTATTTTTTTTATTTTTATTTTTTTTGCAAGATCATATGGGTAGATTGAATTTTGTATTTGTTGCTAGGAAAAAAAAATGAGAAGTTCCATAAGTTTATCAAAGTAAAAAGTTCCCATGCATGTATATATATGTTTGTATATACGAGATTTGGAAATCAATTGAGAATTGGGTTTTGTTTTTATTTGCTCATAATAAAGTTGAATTATTTGCTGGAAATCTAAAGAAAAAAATTCCTAGTATAAAATAATTTTTTATTTTTTAAAATTTCTTTTCTCAGCAATTAATGTTTTCTTATTTCTTGGTTGCTGGTGTTTGGTGGGGAATGCTATTAATAATGATTTCGGAAAGATGTTGAGGTTAGAGTAAAAGCATAAAGATGTGAGGAAGAAGAACAAAAACAAGGGCATTAAGTAAATTAAACAAGTTACTAGACATTGTTAACTAAGGGAGGTCAGTGATATTTCAAAGAATAAAGTGAGTGTCGGTATGATTTCAAACAAACAAAAGAGATGTCAGTGTAATTTACCCAAGATTTTAGCTATTGTTTTATGGAGTTGACATATTTTATGCATTTTCTGAGGGTGGGTATTGGGTGTACTACGGAATTATTTAAGTGCTATGATAGTATGTTTTGCATATAGCATTTCAAGGTAAGAAAGTCGTCCTCAAAAGAAAATAATAGATCTATCAGCATTCGCGAATACTTTTGCTGAACAAGTGTTACACCAATTGCATCATTTGAATTGATTGATTTCATCATCAAATGCTTCCTGAATTATAATGCAGTGTGTCAAAAACAGAAACATTGGAGTAGTTTGTTAAATGTAAGGGCAATTGTTTTTGATGCTCTCATTTCCCTTATTTTCTGCCCAATTCTTAGTTCCTTGATTTGTGACTTTTATATTGCTTTTGGCATTGAAACGACATGTATATATTTAGGATTTTGGCTCATTTCTTTTCTTTATCATTTATCATAATGAAACAAATAGGATGGACATAAAAAAATATTTCTCATACATTGACTAATTGATTTGGTGTGCAAAGGTTTCTTCAGATTATGAAATACTTTTTGAATACTACAAGGAGATTTAATAGAAGATTATTCTTGGTTGAATTTGTATGTAGTTTTAATCTGATATGTGATATTCCTATTCTTGTCAATTGTTATGAACTTCAGTGAGTCCTTCGAAAAGATGGGTTATTAAAGCAGGAAACATGTAAAACGGGGTAGTTTATTATTTAAGAAAAGTCTAGTTTTAAACCATGCTAGCTTTTAGAGGGGTTTTGAAAAATCTACTATTGTGATTACTCATATTCACCAGTCATATTGTATGATGTTTAAGTAACGGCTAGTGTTTTTGTATTTAATTTGTTGTGGTGTGGAAGCTATTTAATTTATCTTCAGATTGCTCCCTTTTCTTCTTGGAGAGCTCTACAGAAGCTCTTAGTGAAACAATTGTCCTGTGTTTTTCTTGGCTTCTGTATTTTATTCCCACGTTATTTTTTGTTAGATTTTTTTTACCCAGAACCCTTTTGTAATTTTTTACTGCATGCTTGTTGTCTGCATGTTTCACTAGTACGTTGACTACATAGAAATCCTGCAGGAAATGTGTGCTAACCAGGGTGAAGTCTGGGTTTCCAGTCATGGTCTGAATTCTCACCAACTGGGTTTCCAGCCATGGTCTGAATTCTGCGGCTGCCCATGGTCTGAATTCTCACCAACTTGTTCTCATGGTTGCTGATCTGTTACGCTTTTCTTGTTCTTGTTTTTTTTGTTGGTTTCTCACCAACTGGAGCTTGGAGCTTCAATTAGCTCCAAGCTCCTTTTTATTGATGTTCTGTATTTTACTTACATGCTTTCATCAATAAAGATTTTCTTTGCCGATCAAAAAAAAAAAAACATAGAAACAGTTTTGTGAATGAGGCATAACTGTATTTTGAGCTTGTAGGACTAAACGTTGAAAACCCGCCCATGTATCTTGGTTGATATTGTCAATTGTGGACGTGTTAGCTTGGAGATAGGAAAAATGCCCCCACCCCCTTCAAATGCTTAGGGAAAAGAAAAAAAAAGGAAGTAAATGATGAAAAGAAGAAATATTTTTTGTATTGCGATGTTCTTGATCTCATGAAAACTGTATTCTTATCAGGAGTTAGTATAGGATGGCAGACGCTGAGGACATTCAGCCACTTGTGTGCGACAATGGAACTGGAATGGTTAAGGTATCAGATGTTGTTTTTCCATTTAAGTTTTCTAGCAGAGAATGCTTCTTTTTTTATTGTAAAGTTAGATGTAACTAATTATTTCACCACATGCTAGGCTGGATTTGCCCGTGATGATGCTCCAAGGGCTGTGTTCCCTAGCATTGTAGGTCGACCCCGTCACACTAGTGTGATGGTTGGCATGGGCCAGAAAGATGCATATGTCAGGGACGAGGCTCAATCCAAACGTGGTATCTTAACCTTGAAATACCCAATTGAGCATGGTATTGTAAGCAACTGGGATGACATGGAGAAGATATGGCATCACACACCTTCTACAATGAGCTATGAGTTGCCCCAAAAGAACACCCTGTTCTCCTGACTGAAGCACCTCTCAACCCCAAGGCTAACCGTGAGAAGATGACCCAAATTATGTTTGAGACCTTCAATACTCCTGCTATATACGTTGCTATTCAGGTTGTTCTTTCTCTATATGCTAGTGGTCGTACAACTGGTAAGTAATTCAATTAATTGATAACTCGTAAGGCTTTTAATTGAATTTCAGATCTACATGACAGAAATTGAATAAGGCAACCACCAAACACCTGAGATTTGTTTGCTTAATGTTTATATACATTTCAGCTTGCCTATAACTTAAATTCCCGTGTCTGGGCTATGGTGGCATCATATAGCATGTTTTTAGTTGTGACATTTGCAGGTGCAAACTGTGACAACTTTTTTTGCTCAGTTTCTCGTATAAGTTTTCTTGAAGGACAAAAGGACTTGTAAAATTGTTTTCATTAGTCTTTATATTTTGTTTAACGAGGCATGGAGATAATGCATTCTATGTTTGTCCGTGCATCCATAGTTCTAAATATCGGCCGGTACAGTACGTACCGGCCTATTCGTACCGGAAAATCATAGCACCGATTCGGATATTCACCAGTATACCGGTGAGAACGAAATTCACAGCCGTAGCATCCGAGTCCCGGTACGTAGCGGCGTGAATCCGATATATGGGCCGATACGGGCTGATACAGTCCGGTACGGTCTCTGTTTCTGTTGTTGTTGTGCAGCGGCGTGATCATTGTTTCTGTTTTTCTTCTTGATGTGTGCTCTGTTTCTAGTTTTTTTTTTTCGTCGATCTAAAGCTGAAGGTGCCTGGGTTTGGCTTCCAGTCAACATTTTGAGTGAGAGAGAGAGAGAGAGGTGGTTGTATTATGGTATGAAAGTTTGAGATTGAAGTGGATATACATGGAGGTGGATTGGGAGTCTGAGATTGAGATGGGTAAGAAGAGAGAGATACCTGGGTACATGGAGGTGCATGGGTTTATGGCGGATTTGTAGATTCAAATGTTTAAGGTTTTTTTTTTTTTTTTTTTTATACACCTATACCTCTATTTATATTAATATATATATATATATATATTTTCTCAATACAAGAAAAAATAAATATTCAAATTAATTTTTTTATTAAAAGTTTAACATATGCCAAAAATAAATACATATCATTTAGTTGAAAATTAGTCAAAAATGTTCCTACGTAACGAAATTTTGATTAAAATATAACAAATTAAAGTTAAAAGAATCAAAAAAATACATAAAATTTAGTTTTAGAGGGATTGTTAATGATTTTTAAAATTTCACGGTCGCGACGCCCGATTCCCGATACGTACCGGCCGATACTACCGATATCGATACTCCGCGATCGATACCGTTACATCAGCCGATACAGCGATTTAGAACTATGATGTCATCTAATCCTCTTTAAACTGGCTGTTTTTAATTTTTACATTTTTTCACCTTTTTAATCTATAGACAATGATATAAAGCATACATGTATCTATTTGTGAGTAATAATTCTCTATTTCAAAATCCTTGTTCCTCTATCCAGAATACTAATGGCCTCATCTAGTCATCTGGAAAGGAAATAAATCATAGGAAAAATATTATTTGTCATTTTTAGCTAACAATAAAGTTGTGGAATTGTATCTTTAACTTTCACGTCAGGACAAATTTTGTGTGTTCAAAGTTCATTGGCACTCTAGTTCCAAACAGTTTTTTTCCCTATAATCTCATAAAGCATAAAAGCATTCATAAAGTAAGTTTACAGAAAGAAACTACATCATTTTTCAAAATAAATAAATAAATTGGAATGGAAGCAGCAAGAATTCATGAGACTACATACAACTCCATCATGAAGTGTGATGCTGATATCAGAAAAGACCTCTATGGAAACATTGTACTCAGTGGTGGATCGACCATGTTCCCAGGCATTGCTGACAGAATGAGCTAGGAAATTATTGCGCTCGCACCAAGCAGCATGAAGATCAAGGTTGTGGCACCACCAGAGAGGAAGTACAGTGTCTGGATTGGAGGATCCATCTTGGTATCTCTCAGCACCTTCTAACAGGTTTTTTTCTTTTCATTCAAACATTTGAATATGTTAAATGTTAATGTTTGTTTTGGGTGATGAAGTGGGTAAAAATTAATCAAGTCTTGGTGCTAGGCCCAATGCGATGCTCACTTCGAGATTGAGCTAGGTTGGACCTCGGCCCTATGGCCAACACTTGCTCCGAAGTAAGACAATCATAGGAGTTCGGCCCAATGTACGAATGTCACTCCAAAGTGGGCCGAGCAACATGGTGGACCTCCTGGATGGATAGCCAACCACTCCGAAGTGGGTTAAGTAACATGTTGAACCTCCTGGTTGGACAACCACTCTGGAGTAGACCAAATTAAAGAAAGTCAATTCATTGAAGATCTTTCTTGGGCCCACAAGAGACAAATAACTCTACTTCTCTCCCTTTGTGTGAACAGAACGTGGAAACGATGAGGTGCAGATGGACAAGGCACACATATGACAGACCTGCATCTGAGTGTCAGGTGAATGGTCGTCCTCCTCCAATAACAAATGTCCGCTAATGAGACAAACAAAACAGACCTGCACCAGAGTGTCAGGTGGAGTGGCCGTCCTCCTCCAATGGGAGACGTCCACGAATAAGACACATTGGACAGATGGCGGAGAGAGAAGGTCTTAGAGGACAAGCAGCCTTCTCCTATAAAAGGTGAGCACTATTCACCCTCAAGGGATTCGAAATCCATACACTTAACACATACACACTCTTTGTATTCTCTCTTCTTCCTCTCCCTGAGTCCATGACTTTACCATCGGAGGGGTTTCCAACCAAACCCTAGTCGGGCAACCTCATCGTTTGTTATTTTGTGTAGATCTTCAATTCCCAAAGCACACCCTTCTTCATAGTGCGGAAATCACTCCCGCACAATTGGCGTCGTCTGTGGGAAAACCACTGCTTGCTTCGTGACAAACTCCGGCGATGGGAATCAAAGATACACCCCATTCTGGGCTAGCAGAGAAGACTCCAATGACAGAGAGAACCAAAGATAAGGGTCTGGCATTCCCTCCAACGCACTATGACCTTATGGATCACGACGATCAGGCACCCAACGCAGTGGAGCGACGTCGTGTCGCTGTCGTCGAGTCATCTCAGCATCTTTTTGTTGAGAGCAACCACCGTTATCACATCATCGACTCAATGGGTTTGGAGATCACTGAGCTTCGCACCCAATTGATAAAGTTCATGACGACCCCCACAGAGCTAAGAAAGTCCGTTGGAGGACCGTCGCAAAGGAGACATACTCCTACGTCGTCTCACAAGGAGCACTTCAGTCGTGGCCCTACTTGTAGGGAGTGTAGCCCGCCAATTTCGGTACGTAGTAAAGAGGCCAGCAATAGGACAAACAACCTACAAAAAAATAACCCATGAGAGAATTCTCATAAAAGGCAAAGGACTGTCAGCCGCCTATCTAAAACCTTTCATTGCTACCACGACGAGCGACCGCACGATTTGAGAAGTTGGCTGAATGATAATAGAGAAAAGGCACGACAGCTACGCAGAGGAGAAGAACATCTATGAGACAGGGAGAAGGAACTCTGAATTGAGGTTCAAGATTTGGAACCAAAGAGGTTGAGTCTCAACAAAAGCATCGCGCTCTAGACCAGTTGGTGTCCACTCCCTTCTCCCCAGAGATAGAAGCTATAAAACCTCCACGAAAGTATAGCCCACCGAAATTCATTCTCCATGACGGGAAAACAGACCCTCTGACCCACATTAGCCATTACCGCCAAATGATGTCCCTCTAGAACCGCAACGATGCGCTCATATGCAAAGTCTTCCCTTCTAGCCTTGGAGAACTTGGCCTCCATGGTTTGACAAACTCCCCAGTGGCTCGATTTATGACTGGACACAGCACTCTGAGGCGTTCTTAGCCCAATTTGTCTCCAACAGCAAAGTCTCAAAGTAGTTAGATACCTTGTTCAATATTCGAAAGGACAGGAAAGAGACTCTACGCCAGTACGCGCGATGGTATTAGGCGAAATATGGCGACTTGGAGGAAAATGTTTGCAGTGAACAATTGGTCGTGCTATACTTCAAGAAAGGCTTACCTCCTACGCATAAGCTAAGGTAGCCGTTGACGAAATGACCTGCCCCCACCATGAAGGATTTGAGGGCTCGAATAGAGCAAAAAGCTCGTGTAGAAGATGACGTTGCTTCAGTACATGTTGCGGTTGCTAAAGAAAAAGTCAGACCGCCTCGACCACCTAGGACTGAGCAGCCAAAAAGGGATGAGCAGTGCAAGAATTATGGCCAAAAGAATCGCTCCACAGCAGAAATGAAGAGAAAAGGGCCAAGTCTTATGAAGGCATCACTACCGTCTTCAACGAGCCAATATACAGGCTTGTCAAGAAACTTAAAGGGGAAGCCTTCTTTGTCTGGCTAGCTAAGATGCCTGGAAAACCTGCTCAGCGTAATCAGACACTGCGTTACACCTATCATCGAGAGAAGGGACACAAGACACGAAATTGCAGAGCTCTCAAACAACACTTGGAGGACTTAGTTACGGTGGGACACCTCCAACAATGGATAGATGTTGATAATACGAGGAAGAAGCAAGGACAAGATCAAGCCCCTCCTGAAGAGAACAATGCCCCGAGGTTGGTCATCAATGTTATCCATGGAATGACTGACCCCGAAAGGGAAAACACCATTCGAGGAGAAATCCAATGAGCCACCTACATTCAACAAGTAATGTCGGTAGGACCTCCTCCTAAAAAGTCCAAGACAGAAGCCAGACTTTCTCGGTTTAACGTCGTGTTCACCGAGAAGGACCTAGAGAGAATCCAACACCCCCACACTGATGCCCTCATCGTTACAGTCGGTGTGGCCAACAAGTTCAATGTGAAGCGAGTCTTGATTGACCAAGGGAGTGCCGCAGACATCATGTATTATGAGCTTTTCAAGAAGCTTGGCCTCAGTGAGAAACACCTGACACCTGCCACCGCCCCTTTAGTTAGCTTCAACTCACAAACAGAATGGCCGCTCGGCCGAATAGCTCTGCCTGTCATAGCTAAGTCCAAGGTGGTCTCTGTTGACTTTTTGGTGGTAAACACCCCATCTCCCTACAATGTCATCCTTGGCTGACCTTGGATTCACCAGATGGAGGCAGTCCCTTCCACCTATCACCAGCTCAATCCCTTTCCAACCAAGTATGGAGTAGAGGAGATTCACGGAGACCAAGTGGCGGCCGAACACTACTTCATTGGCTCCATGAAAACCAAACAAGTTTGCGACCAAGTGCAGATGGTGGAAGTACCTAACCAGCCAGTTTTGGAAGACGTCGGCGGAGTGCCAACCAAGAAGATAGTAGAAGACCTAGAGACAGTCTTTGTCCATGTCAAATGGTTTTGAGATCCCGAAGTCATTTGAATCCAAGAGAATGGCTGTTGTTCGCTGGCGATGCAGGAGTCTATCCAATGGGGGGGCTGAATTTGCCCCTTAGTGTTGCAGATAGGAACTCAGTTGTTCTTCAGCAATACCTTCTTTTTTCCTCCCTTCTGGGATTTGGCACTCTTGCCAGTCTTCATAGTTTGCAGGAATGACTCATCTTTCGCTCTTCAAGCACATCTGACATTTTTCTGCCCCTGGTTCCAAGGGTGCCTCTGATCTAGCTTTGCAAGCTTCCTTTGATCACATCTGATATTTTCGCCTCTAGTTCATGGGCTGCTTCTGACTCGGCCACACAGGCCTTACATTGTGGTTGACCGTTGAACATTCTGAATTGAGGTTCAAGATTTGGAACCAAAGAGGTTGAGTCTCAAGGCTGAGAGCGATCCTAGGCTGCACAATCTCAAGAGCGATTCCACACAGGTCTTCGCAGGACCGCGCAAAACATTTTTTGAAATTTTTTAAGAAAGCGACAAATCGCTCTCGCTGAAGACAGTGTAGAACCAATCTGGGTCAAGCCAGAATCCTTCTCAGTACTCACACTAACAAGCGTGATCTTAATCATTAAGGGCTTAGCATGCCTCTCTTTCTCTCAATTTGATCAAATTTTGCAAAACCCGAGGAATTCCTTCCTCTTCATTTTCATCACAATGTTCAAAAAGGTTTTGAAAAAACTTAGGTCAATACAATGAGTTCAAAGCACAGAAAAGTAAGTGAAAAGCACTGCCACTTCGTTCTGAACATTGTTGGCACAACAGGCTCAAAGTAACAGCAAGTACAAAGGCATGATAGCCACAGCTATTTCAATCAGATTTCTTGGTTGCAACTGGCTTCACAACAGAGACAAACTCAAAAGAAAGGAAAAGACAAGCACAAAAACGACAATGGTGTCCGAGGTAACAACTCCGGGATCACCTGACCCCTATACAACAGGACTAATTCGATACAACGAGACAAACCTTTAAGCAAAAAGACTGACTTGAAACAAAGAGACAGACTCAAAACAAAATCACAGAACTGACTCAATACCCAAGTCAGAGTGTACAAAAGTCATCATTCGCAAAATGCTCAAAATAGTGCGTGCCAAACGTCATATCTAAAATAAGCCGAGCGCCGCCCGCAGGTGGTCCAACCCCTGATTACATACTTGTACTATCTTCGAAGTCTACAAACTCAATGGTGACAGACTTTGCTGTGCTAGGCAGGAGGATGACCTCATTATCGATCAAGTTTTGCACTTCGTGGTGAAGACGAAAGCAATTGTCGGTGGTGCGACCAGTCTGTTGGTGGTACGCACAGTATTGAGTAGCATCATGACCCGGTGGAAGATGAGTAGGGAGAGGCCGAGGCTCAAGGGGTTTAAGATGTCCCTTTTCAGCAAAGATTTGAAGTGCCTTAGACAAAGGCATGTAAAGGGCATGAAAGACCCTGCGCCCTCGGGGCAGGTACTTCAAAGTCTGTGGATTTTTGCTGGGCGCACTAGCAAAAGGATCAGCGGGTGCTGTCTTGGCTCTCTGATCTTTCCCAGGTGTAGGGTTAGGATTGGCAAGAACAGTTCTGGTGCGACGGTCCTTATCCCGATTTTCCCTCTGGCTTGAACTACTCCCAGTTTGAGTAGGGAAGATGTCATCCACAGCCTTAGCCAAAACTGTGAGTACTTGTTGCTTATTCAACCCCCGGCTTTCAAAGCCTCAACAGCTTGCTGGAGTTGCGCATAGGGATCTGCATCTGCCTTCATCTTGTTCTTTCCACTAGCCTCAACTTGGTGGGAGGTTTGGGTTGTTGCTTCAGTGCGAAGCCCCGTTGTCGTTGGTACGTCATTGCCGGAGTTTGAGACAACTTCAGGCTGGCTGAGCTCAACTACAATTCGCCCCAGTAGCGGGGGCTCCTGCGGCATGAAGTTCCCGGCGTATGATGTGGCTGGTGGTAGAGCCGACATCCCATAGGCTAGATCAGCCACAGATCTCTGGAGGTCGCCGATCATTCCCATTAACTCAAACGTGGTGGGTTCACGAGCTTGAAACATCTGGGGTTCCCAAATCAAGCGCGCAGCGGGCGACCTGGGCGGGTATGATATCTCAACATTGGTCTCACCTTGTAAGATGATCCCTTGATTTAGTGCGGTTTCCATAACCACAACTTCCTCTGAATTCTGTGACATCATAAATCCGCTGAACTGAGCGGAGGTGATGTGACTGGTGACTTGACTGATCAGATATCTACCTTGCTTCAGCGAAGGAGAACACTGGCTATTCTGAACTCAGATCTCTGAAACCCCCCTCCTCCTGAAAGAGAAAACAGGCAGCGTCTCAGCCCAATTTTACCCAAACAATCGTAAGCACAACTGAACAACTGTATTTGATCACTGATCACTGTTCCCCAAAACTACTGCCCCAAAACTGAATCTGATACCCGTAGATACTACTGATTCTCAAAACACTGACACTAATGCCCGCAGGCCTGATGCCCAGACTTGCAAACGGATATGTGCGTTCCTTGTAGAGGTCAACTCTAAAAGCACATCTAACAAGCAAATGAAAGCCAATACACCCCTATATTGGGGTAGGGTTTTCCTGTCCTAGTTTCATCAAGAACTAGGGTT